GACTAATGCAAAAATAATCGGTGACTAGTCGACTATCAAAATAATCGTTTGTGGCAGCCCTACTGTGGAATCAGTACTTTAAGGCCTTGTCATAGAATATTCAAACAAACTATTATTTGAAATATGGCTTCTTGAAACCACAGTATAGATTTATAGTTTTCACATGGTCATTGATACCAAATCTGTTTTTCCAACATCCATTATGAGTCTGTCACAATAAAAGCACCTGACAGGGCTCAGTCATGGAGCACGAATTCATTTTTTTAAATGACATAAAACAGTAAAGCTACTGTAACACAGTTCATCAGTGAGCAAGAACAGAGCGTGATTATGGGCGCCCGTCTTCCTTCAGGTTTCTTCATGGAGCCCACCGTGTTCACTGACGTGGAGGACCACATGTTCATCGCCAAAGAAGAGTCCTTTGGTCCCGTCATGGTGGTGTCCAAATTTAAGAACGGGTAAGTCGAGGGTGACGAGTATCACACCGTAGAGTCGTCGCTCAGTGTTTCATATCCTCGCTCTGCTCTTTTCCTCCAACCTCCAGAGATGTGGACGGCGTGCTGCAGAGAGCCAACGACACGGAGTACGGTCTGGCTTCAGGCGTGTTCACGCGCGACATTAACAAGGCCATGTATGTGAGCGAGCGGCTGGAGGCTGGAACCGTGTTTGTGAACACCTACAACAAGACTGATGTTGCCTCACCTTTTGGGGGTTTCAAGCAGTCAGGCTTTGGCAAAGACCTCGGTGAGAAGACAATTGGAATTTATTACATTTATTAAATATTATATTCAAATTTTATTTGTCACACACACAACCATACACAGTATGACATGAGGTGAAATGCTTGTAGCTGTGCAATGCCCGACCATTAAATGACAGTTTTACAGTATTTACAATTTACAGGTTATACAAAATTTACAGATTTAACTTAGAAATTTACAGTAAAAAAATGTGCAGATAGCAGAAAGAGATTATAAATTATAGGAAGTGTGCATGAAGAAAAAA